GAAATGATGAAATTTGTTATAGACAAGCTTATGATTTTGTGAGACATCAAGTTAAGAGTATTTGTTGTGAATGACTCTCAGCCTCCACATCAGACTTTAGCACAAATCTACAATACTCACTGAGTTATAGTGGAGGCCCACAGACGCCATGTTTCTGTTGCCCAAGATTGTTTAATTGGGGTGGCCACCCTGAATTGGAAGTTTATTAGTTGTTCTAGATGCACAATCAATGATTGTGTTCTAAAAGTCTCTTTAAAATCTGTTCAGCAGTTAATTAAAAATTTTCAGGCAGACATGGCTGACAGTAGTGCACGCTAAAGTTTTACACTAAGATTTTACACAATAAGTAGCACTTAGAATAGTTGTAAATGAAAAAACATCAGCTTTCTGCAAAAAATATGACTGAATTAAAGGCATTTTTGTGTTTTCCATGTCAGTTAGCTGCGTTGACCATTTTGAATTTGTTAATCAGTCCAATATGTGCTGCCGACTATTATTTTCTGAAAGTTTTGTTAACCTGTTTAGCGGTTCATGAGATGTCTTAAAGAAAAAGCGTTAGTGCCAAAGTTTTAAATAATGATCTTACAAGATCATCATTTAGAATATTTTAGCTTCTAAGGCACTAAATTATAAAACTAACTTATCTTGAGCCATTTTTGTGGTTTTTTTAAGTTGATTGGCTGTGGTGATCATCTTGAATTGTGGTGTCTTTGAAAAGTTATTCAGTTGTAGATGTATTGCCATTATACTTTCTGCAAATTCAATTAAAATGGTTGCAGTGGTTCATGAAATATTTTGGTTACAAAACCATTTCCTGTTGGCAGCGGGCACCAGTTAGGAGCCTTTAAACTCTAAGTGGTTTTTTAGCAGTTGTGAGAAAGTTGTGCTAAATAGTTCTTTCACTTTATACAAAACATGTCGGGACAAGTGTTGTTGTAAAGAAAAAGTGAGCTGTGTCCAGAACACAACAGCCTACTGCTTCTGTCAATAAGAAATGCTCTTGGTACTGACTCGAATATCACAGTACAGTATGTGTTTATATACATACAGTATTTGTTCTTACAGTTTGACTAAGTGAAGCATTTCTGAGAACTCAAAACTTGAATTCACTAACAAAAATAGGTGGAAATGGGCTGAAACTGGTCATGTGACTGCATTTCAGCATTCTCTGGTTGCTGACCTTCACTCACTAGCAGCGTTTCCATTGACCATGAAAATGTGCAAATTAGAATTTCGAAAATAAATTTGCTTAAATAGAAATACAGCAATTTCAAAAAAATTATGTTTTTCAACGAAATGTTTCGGCCTTATCGAAATTGGTGTTTTTCGCAAAACTGCAATGGAAACACTTTTTTTGCATCACGGGAGTCACGTGATCAACAACCAGCTGTTTCTACTAGCGAAAAAGATGACGACAAAAAAGATAACAGGAAGTAGAAGTAGTAGTAATAATATCACAGAAATAGTAAAATAAAGTATTAAACTCACCAACTACAATTTCCCAAAAACTCAGAATACGTAGCCGCTACCAAGTAGGGGCTTGTTGCTGGAAAGCCTCTATAAAAGACGCTGACGTCTCCTCTGATGATGAGCGCTAATGTCGCGGTAGCAATATGCTATGTGTTTACATCTATTGCCGCCATGTTTGTAATGACTTATCGCGAGAACAAACGTATTCACGCGTGACTTTAATAGCATTTCTTAATTAATGGAAACACCGCATTTGCGAAACTGTGTTTTTCGACATTAACAGAATATTGACAAAGTTTTGCGCACATTTGCAATGGAAACGCAGCTACTGTGATGCTCCAGCAACTACCTGATAACACCACCTATTCACTCATGATGTCACCACCTGGGCTTGCAATACATTGTGTGTTAAAGCATCTACAGATCCATTACTGGTCTGCATGTGGACCAGATTAGATCCAGATCAAACTCATTCATCTGGGTGTTTTCAGTTTTTGCAAGAACGTAACGAAACAGCAACAGTATGAATGATTGTTGTGACCTAACTTAATGAATTATAATTTAATCAATACGTGACAGAGACTGTAGAAGCTGCATTGAACACTTTTCTCAGGGAGTCAGCTTCATTATTGAAGATCCACCGTCGTGATAAATGACTGACAGCTTCTGGGTGGTAAGTTTGTCTCTGACGACAGAGTAAGATGACATTCTGTTCAGACTCTTCACCTCAGAAGCTCTGTCATCTCTGCTGACAGGAGGGACAAATCAGGACTAGATAAACTGATGGGTGCAGGATTAAATGGATGTTTTTCTTTGCCAACACAGCTCCTAAAAATGCTTTTAATCACCCCCTATTTCTGATCTGATTTAAGACATAACCTCATGCCTCATGAATTAGATCCATAACCAACATTTTCGGCCTAAATTGGCCTGTTTTGTCCCATATGTGAGTTTACATGAGTAAAATTGGAATTCCAGCTGTTTTATAACAAATTATGTTTAATGTTTTGGTTGTTTTTTTATTTTTTTGCTAATAAATGCCCTCAGTATTTTTTAATTGAATGTTGATCTTTTTTAATAATGTCAGAAACGTGCACTCAGACATCAGAGGATGGCGGAGGAAGTTATTCATCTGATACTGCACAGCTGTGGGGAAACACGTGCAGCAAAGCATGTTTGGATGAAACCTCTGTTTAAGAATGCCAGTTTAAAAAAGTAATAATAAAAAAATTGATCTCCACTGCACGTGAGTCAGACGCAATGATTTCCAGCTGCTGCAGGGCTGTGCATTCGCCACCAAAAATCTGTTTCAGTGTTCGTCTTTTCACTTTTGGCCTCTCTGTTTCCTGAGAGATGATTGGGAAAAGTTGACGTTTTTAAATCAATTCAGTTTTTGGTTCTCATGGATAGGGGTGTAGGAAAATATCAACGCACTGATATATATCGATATTTCATTTTCCAATACTATATTGATTTTCTAAAGCCCTGTATCGATTTTTAATTATGGTTTAAAATTTTAATTTTCCTGCCAACGGTACATTTTTATGTTTTAGTTTAGCCTTTGACCGCTAGTTGGCAGCAGTGAGCCAGCCATTTGGCTCCTCTACTTCTAAGGAGCCAGAGAGTAACAGTAGCATTAGCATCATGAGTAAACATTAGCATCATGCACCGATAGCTGAATCTGAGGAGAAAAAATGGACACCCTCTGCCTTATAAGATGAGGTAAGGTTACAAACAGTCCCTTATTAGTCAGAATGACTGTATTTTAAGCCAAGTTGAAATGTCTCATTCGGGGCGCTCTTTTTCCGACCGAAGTCAGCTGTCACGTTACGGAAGTCAGGCAGGCATGCGTCTAGCGCCTCGAGCTTAGGGGGTGTTGTGCGAAATTCAGTTCCCCTGTGAAAATCTGCCCCACCCTGTGTCTGGAGGGCACACTGCAGCCAGAGAGGTGGATCCGACCATTTTCACAGCACTTCTGATCAATTTCTCAGTAAAAGGACTCACATAATCGTGTCAAGGTAACTTTCAGTTTAGCTGCTGTTAAAAAAAATTAAAAAAAAAACTCTAAAATGAATAAATAAAAAAACCGGCCTTTTTATCACAAAGAGAATCAGTCCTTATCAGTCCTTTTACAACTTTTCACATGTTCTCTTTAGCCTCGCTATTTATCACTCAGCCACCAAACACTGTCTTCTAACACATTGTGTGTATTTATAATTTTATTATTGCTGATACAAGAACCAAATATTTCAGTTGTTTAAAAATAATCTGTTCCCCCTCTGTAACATGGGAACAAAATAATTTACCTCCAAGTCTTTAACTGTGTTAATTCCTCTCATCAAAAACAACAAATCCTGAAGATTTGGGGAAATTTGCTCTTTATTTTCCAAAGTTACCTGGAGGTAACTAGATATTATTCAGGCTTTTAAGCTACAGTTTGCACTGTTTCAATTAAAGGACACTAATTTTCTCACTGCAACTTTGATTAATTTTGTCCAGCTGTAGACTCTAAGTCTCTGTCCAATCAGAGCAGGTATTGTGTAGTTGGTGCTTTTAATCAGTTTTTAGTTCAATTAATTCAATCCAAGTCTATGGAACAGTCACAAAATGTCACCAAAATCACTCTGTCCCTCTAATATCGTTCAGAAAATTGAATTGTATTGTTTGCTGAATATCGTGATATATATAGTATCGTGAGCAGAATATCGAATATCATATCGTGAGATTAGTGTTTCGCTACAGCCCTACTCTTGGATGCCCTCTGGGATTGCGTGTTGATTGATATTTATTATATGTATACCGTATTCTTGGTTTAATTTGATTTTCATATCATAAACATCCATCTGCATTGTTCTTTGTGATGTTTCCTAATCTCACCTGACAGCTTCAGGTCTCCTCAGATCAAACCCTGTTGTCCTCCTTCCTGTTCAGGTCTTTCTTTGGGCAGGACTTGCACACTCCATCAGGCAGCTGTGCATCTATCCACACGGACAGCTGTTAGTTCTGGGTGGTTTTGGCTGGTTGCGGTGCGGTCCAGAGTCAACCTCGCATGTCGCATTGTTCTGACCCAGTGTACCTCTGCGGTAGGCTGCTTACAGCCAGGACGGTCGGCCCGAGCGCGTGCTAATTGCACGGTTGTGGTTGAAGTGAGGCAGTGGTGAACGGTGTTGTGGAATGGTTGGAAGGAAGGGTTTGTGTGCTGCTGGAACCCGTGATCACGAGGACCTATAAATGGGCACATCTCTCTTTAAAGAGAGGACATAAATTTTTCGCTGAACCACGGCTGTGAAGGAGCCTGCTGAGTAATCGCTGGTTCTGAGTCAGCAGAAGACGGATGATGGGCAGAGAGGTGATAAAAATGGACAAAAAGAAGGCTTTTTTTAACAGCAGACATTTTGTGGGGGGGTTATGCACAACCTTCATCTCCTAACCGAACAACGTGGACTATAAATGTTGTAATGTCACTGCTAAGTTTAACTCCACTTTTTTTATATGACCCTAACGTTTTCTCTCTCTCTTTGTTTTTGTAGCGGAACCAGCTGACCTCTTGAAGATTTTAGATTTTCACAATTTACCCGAGGGCGTAACAAAAACAACGGGTTTCTGCTCACATCGAAGGTCATCACAAGGACCTGATGTGGCTTACAGAGTATCCAAAGATGCCCAGCTCAGTGCCCCCACCAAACAGCTTTACCCAGGTGAGTGTCTGACTCCGCCCACCACACCTTTCTGCACCTGATCGCACATTTTCCTGCTGTTTAAAATGAGCTTGCAACAATTAGTATTTAAAAAAAGAAACCACAACTGACAGCGTGACCTTTTCATGGCTTTTTCTTCCTCATATTTGGTTGAATATTTTGACCTTTCACCTCTTAGGTAGCAGTTTAACTTTGTAATTAGTTCAGAGCAGGGTTATTCAACTGGTGGCCCACGGGCCACATCCGGCCCGCGAGTGACCAAAGTTCAGCCCGCCAACTGGTTCATTCATCTTTTAAGCCCAAACCCCGTTTTCTACTTTAGTTATAAGTTCTTTTAGTTAAACATACACATCTTTGGTATCTACAGAAATGACAGAATCTTGGCTACAAGCTGGTAAAAAAACATTTCTATGAACATCCAAGACAGTTAAAACAGCAGTTGAAGATAAAACTATGAAAGTGAAAATAAAATTGGTTTAAAAATTTGGCAAGTCAGAGATGTCAACATAATAATTTGTGTTAAATAGGTGGCATAATGTGCTATTTTTGTTTTTGATATTGTTTAATTATCATTACTTTTATTACATAGGGTTCTGTATGTTGTATTCATGATTAAATGAAGCAAAATTTTTCAAAGGGGGTAACAGATCTTTGTAATACTTTGTTTATTTACATAATAACTTTAATTACTGGATGTTCGGCCCCTGAGCTGTTGGCCTGCAGTAACTGTGGCCTCCTGGAATAATTTAGTTGAATAGCCCTGGTATAGAGTATAGATTCACGAAATCTGGACTTTAGTCAAGATGAGAACTTACTGTGTGATTGGTCAGATAATTGTTCAGAGGTTCATGGAAGTGTTTGTTTATGCTGACACTGCATTTTGCTTCAGCCACTCGCTTCCCAAAAAAAAGGGGGCAAAAAAATCAATCGAACAAAAACTCACTTCCAGAACCCGACTGTTGTACCTGGCAGCAAAAAAATGGTCAACTGGGCACAAACTCATGGATGTAGGAAAAAAACACGTCTGCAGAAAAAGTGTGAAGCTTTGACAGATACGTGGACAGATAACAACAGGTACCAGAGTTTGTTTGTTTTTTCTTTCTCCCTAAGTGTAGATGTGCAGTGACATAGTTTCCCTGTGGCTCGGCTCGGTATGTCTCAGGAGCTATGAAACGTGTGCATGAAAACAAACATCCAACAACCATGTGACCGCACTTTCTCTGTTCGGCTTCAAATGGAGAATAATGGGCTTTTAAAGGGGCAATATCATGTAAAATCTACTTTTTTGAGTTTATATCATGTTATAATGTTATACTCTCATAAAAACAGGCCCAAAGCCTTGCTCTGACTCATTCATGCATGTTTGAGAAATCCTGCAGCGTTTTTATGAAGCCATGCTGAGGAGCAAAACGACAGGTGGGGACCAGAAAAGCCTTTTGGTACCAGGAACGCCCCTGGGACGTGTCTTTTAGCTCAACGTCCTCATGGCGGAGCGCACCCCCTCCCCCCTCTCGACATACCCCGCCCATGACTCCTGCAGGCTCTCGGGTGAAACTGAAAGTGAAACTTAAACTGTCTGGTGAGCTCCTAACACTACTTCTCACTCAGTGAAGCTCTTTTCAGTTTAAAAACACCTATGAGGAAATGTATTTTCAGATGCCAGGTAAACTGCATCATAGCCTCCCCCCACCCCCCCCACCCCCGCACCGAAATGGGTAAGACAGAAGCGCAGAAGCGGATGGTGGTTCTTAAAGAGACAGAGGCCAATTTCAAGACATTTAGAAGAGGAAGAGATGAGAAGATAAGTGTATTTTCTATTTAAACATAAAAAGGCATTTTAATAACAACTAAAGGTGACATAGATACTTTATTATGGTATAGTATGTAATAAATGCCTGAGAAACACATAATATTGCCCCTTTAAGAGGTATAAAAAGATCTTGTACCACGAGATCTGGCAAAATGAAAAGTGTCTTGCGAACCCCCCAAAACACCATATCATGATCGTGTCTGATAAAATGATGGCTGAAGATGACCTCACCACCTTAAATAGCCTGTGTGTCAGCAGTTTAAACAAACAGGTCAGGGCACTAGGACCACGCACCACATCTGCTCCCCCTGCTCGCCTGCAGCCTCTGCACAGAAGACGTTTTAGTACACCTACTGTACGTCATCAAAACTGAGATTTCAAAAGATGATTTATGCCTTAATTTTGTCCTCTCTGCATATCTTGAGTGGGTGCATTATCAGCAATAAATGTAGTAACAAACTCATGTTGTGGTCTATTGTCAAATACATTTAGCTCAGTAGTTCTGTTTGACATATTTTTGGTTTAATTTGCTGATTTAAGGCATCTGTAACAGTCACCTGCATTGTTACCTGGAAGTTTAATTTATTTGCTCCACTTATTTATTAAAAACAAAGGCATTTGATTTAGTCAAAGCATGAAGCATTAAAGCATTTAAAAGCTTTAAACAGTGAACTTTACTGTCAAAATTTAGAAGAGCTTATGTGCAATATTTTTAGGTATTTTTAGGTTCTAAGTTGTAAAGAAATTTAGTAAAAAAAAGGAACAAAGATTTGCTAATTGCTAGTTGTTCTGGACCTTTGACCTTAGCTAGAACTCACCTTTACCTTTAACTTACCTTTAAATCAAAAGTTTGTGAAGCCCTGGTAGAGGGGATTTAAAACAGGAAGTGCTGTTTATTCCTTTACCTTCCTGGTGAAAGGGATCAAATGATTTCTGTTGGTTTCAGTTTGTTTTAAACAGTAAAAGATAAAGATAAAAATAATAATAACCCAAACACACTCCCAAGCAGCTTCAGGAGGGGGTTGGACAATGGAAAAGCAGTGAAAGCAGGGGCTGCACAGGGGTGGGGTTTTCCCCTTTAGTTGTGTTGACGTGGCTCAGAACTGCTGCTCTGTGCGCCACACCACTTCTTTCCTCTCACTCCTCCCTCTCCTGTCATCTTTTTTTCTTTTCTTTTGCCCTCAAGCTTTAGATTTTCCTCTCTGTATCATTTCTCCTCCACTGTGGCTGCCGCAGTTTTTCATTCCCTCAGCTTTGAGTCATAGAAGTCTTTTTTTTCCTGTTTCGAACAGATAAAAGTTGTGCTGATCTAGCGCAAAGGACTGACTGAGCTCTGACCCTGTCCCGGTCCGACAGATGCTGCAGTGAACCTTTGATCCGTCTTCTGATTCTTTCTTTGGGTTTAAAGATGAGCCATAAGGCTTCTGTGGGCTGCGAGTCTTTACACGCTCTCCAATCAAACAAATCCTCTTCACTTTGATGCTCTCTGACTCCGCAGCCCCATATGGCTCTTTGTTTAAACACATATTCTATAATTACACACACATGCTGCTGTGGATCATCCAAAATAACAATCCACATAAAACAAAACAACTGGAGGGCTTCATAACAGGCATCTCATGTTCTTTAGGTGCAAACTGACTAACTAGCTGTCTGTGGCTTGAAGGATTTAAAATATAGTTACAGTTGTTTGTTCCGTGGCCCTTTCCTTGCCTGGTTGTTACAGCTAATAGATTCCAGACGGCAGTCTGAGATCATTTTATCCAGGATTTTAAGTTTTCCACTCCAAGTCCTGTTCAGCGAAATGATCAGCGTCCTCCCTGTCTGACGGTTCGAACATTCAGCTGCACAGTCAAACCTGAGGCATTCAAACATTTAGCTTTTCTTTTCATTCTGTTGCTGGTAATAAAAACCACAGCAGCTAGGATTGAGAACACTCAGGCCCGTGACCCAATAACCACAGACAGTCTACGATGATCTGTTGGAAAAAAAGGAAAAGAAAAAGAAAAAAAAAACAGGAGCAGACATGCAATCATTAGGCAAACATGTGGAAGAGATGATTCATTTCAAACCACTGGGGTTCTGAACAAACAGACCTTCCCTTACCTTCGCTGAAAACTTTCTGCTTCTTTTGAACTTTTCTCCCTCTTCTTGTTGTGACTTTGCGTCTAGATAAATCTGTGACTAAAAGAACCGCAGCCGACCAACGTGCAACAGCTCCTGCATGTTTTCCAGACTGATTTAGTGGAAACTCTGCCTGTAAGGTTGTGATTTTAAGAAGATACTGATCATTCTGATAGCTGCTGCAGCACAGACTCCTAATGTAGAGATGAAAAGTAACAAAGTACAAATACTTTGTTACTGTACTTAAGCAGATGTTTTGGTTACCTCTACTTTACTTGACTTCTTATTTTTCAGACAGCTTTTTACTCCTTACATTTTTAAAAAAATGGCAAATATTTCATTTTGACTTGTTTTCATTCTGTTAAGATAAATTGCACCTCTTGGATAGAGTGAATTTAAAGGAGCGGTATTATATGCTTTCCAAGCCTATATTTCTATTTTATACTAAAATAAAGTAGCTGTCACATTTTCAGCTCACGAAAGAGCTATAATTTGTAAAAATCCCCAAAACAATTTACTTCTCATCTTGACAGTTTCTAAAAGCCTTGAAATAGGTCTCTGTCTCTTTAAGAAAATCCAACCACTTCGGTCACGCCCATTTCAGCACGTAGCCTGCCGGAGTCGCGGAGCAGGTGGGTGGGGGTGGGGGGTCGTGCGCGATGGTGGGCTCGCGCTTGCGCTACGATACAGTTTACTTGGGATCTGAAAATACATTTCCTCAAAGGTATTTTGAATCTGAAAAGAGCTTCACTGAGTGAGAAGTGGTGTTGAGAGCAGCAGGCAGCTTAAGTTTCACTTTCACTTTCACTCGTTTGCTTTGTTACTGCCAAGAGCCTACAGGAGTCATGGGCGGGGTGTGTGGGTTGGGGGGTGGGGAGGCGCACCCCGTTATGAGGAAGCTCGGCTTAAAGACACGTCTCAGGGGTGTTTCTGGTCCCCACCTGTCGTTTTGCTCCTCAGCATGGCTTCCTAAAAACACTGCAGGATTTCTCAAACATGCATGAATGAGTCAAAGCAAGGCTTTGGGCATGTTTTTTATGAGAGTATAACATTATAACATGAAATAAAACTCAAAAAAGTTGATTTTACATGATATTGCCCCTTTAAATACAGTATATACCATTCTCACACCCTATTGGTTTGTACGATCAGTCACACCTGTATGACAAAGATCACAACAGGACATATCAAACGTGTATGAAGATGACCATAGCAAACAGGTAGTGCATCCCAAATTTTTCAACATTACCATTTTAATATAACATTATAGTCAAAATGGCTTTTATAAAACTGCTCTTTGGGGAGGTCAACTCCTACTAAATGTCCTTTTGGAAATTCTAACTGCTCACTTTTACTCAATACTTTTACTTTTGTTATTTAAGTACAGTAAATGTGGTAATCTTTATGACTTTTACCAAAATATTTTTTTGGTAGAATGCTTGTACTTTTACTCAAATATCACTTTGATGATAACTCTTAAAGAGACAAACTGACTCTAATATTTCAAAAAATATGTTTTTGTTACAGAACTACAGCTTCAGTTTCAAAGGTATGAAAAGTATAATGTAACATAATTTAACATTTAAGTAAGATCAATAAAAATGTTTTGTTCAAACCCTGAAAGTACAGTAAAACACAATTTTATGTAGTATTACAATTTAGTGCTCAAAGTATGTGATGTGGATAGCTCTCAGATATTAATACATCAGGTTTAAGCTCAATATCTGTAAAATTAACTGAGTTAGAGCCATTTATGTGTTGGCTGAAGCCAGTTTCATTCATCGGCAGCTCAAAGTTGTAAGAATATAAGCAAATTTTCATTTGTAGTTTTACTAAATTTGAAGCATTTCAAACCAGGGATCATTGCAAACATGATCTGCAGAAATAATTTATGAAAATCACAGCTTATTGTCATATCCATGACATGTGCAGCACTGTAGGCTGTGCACATTATTCTGTTATTCACCTCGACACTGGCCTGGGTGTGCTTGGGTCCAGCTTGTCAGATGCCCCAACTTTTATAATTTATACTTTAGAGCTGTAGACTTGGATGGTTTTAAGGAAAGATTCCACGCAGGCAACAAAATAAAGCTGCAGTGCTCCAGATTTTATAGAAATTAAATTGAGTGGGTTTGAGAATAATTTGAAAGAAAAACATCTGTGGCAGCCATCTTGAACGCCAGCTGTTGATCAGTTGTTATAACTTTCTGGGAGTTTCATTCAATTTCATTCTCTGCTTCGGGAGATTTTCTGCTAACAGACAGACAGGAAGACACACAGACGCAGGCAGCTACATGATCACCCACCTTTTATGGTGATGAAAAATAACTTTGTTGGATTCTATTCCAAAAAAAATAAATAATCCGTAATCATCAGTGTTGCTGCTTCAGATGCCAGATTAAACTCCCACCTCTGCCAGCACTCTTTTTACAGCCCACAACTGAAATACAGGGCAGTGATGTTTTCACTTGTGCCTGTGCATTTGTGTAACTGTCTGTAAAAGCCCTGTCACACTAAAACATTTTAGACAACATCTGTAACAGATTCATTGTTTGGAATCAACCTAATTCAAGATGGCTGTCACTGCTTATCAGTTTTCCCAAAAACAGTTTTGTAGATATTGAGTTAAGATTTGATACGGTAGTGGTAGAGAGTAATTTCCAACGTGTACTTCAATAGTTAATAAATGACAAGAGATTTTTATTTAAAGAGTTGTCATCAAATAGTGAGGTTAGCCCTGTCTGTCTGTTAGCAAAATATCTTATGAACCGGTGGGCAGATTTTAATGATGCTCATTCACAGTAATCCCTGGATCAGTTCTCAACACAGGATGATCTTAGTTTACACTCTGGCATGAAAAGTGCTGGGTGGGTTTGCATTCCTTCAAAGAACGCTATGCCTTTAGTTTTCCTTCTGTGCACATGTTTTTATTTCACCCATCTGATGACCTTTGGCCCACACAGACATCCTGCTGTCATGGTCTGCACCGTAAAACAGATGTTGTCCTTAAGTGTCCCTAATTATCTTATTTTTTGCATCATAGCACTTAGGTTTTGCATATTTGTTTCATTCAGTGTGACCAAACCTTTCCACATGAGATTACTGAGGAGTGTTATCCTGCTATTCCTGAAGGCCCGTCACTCTGGTTCAACATCTGTCCGTCCATCTGTCCGTCACAGCAGCTTCTCTCAGATGAGCTGCATTCCTAAAGCACGACTCTGCCAAGGCACGTGCTCTGTGCACGATAGGATGGGATGCTCAGCAGTGAGGGAGGAATGACAGAAAAAAATGGCAGGACGAAAACCAGACATCCAGGTGGTGACGGAAAGAGAGACGATGAAAAGAATCAAGAGAAGAGTTTCAGGAAACACAGTTTTGTATCTTCTGGTTTCGTTTCTACAGTCGTCTTAAAGATGTGCTGCTTTATAAAACCCACAAGTTTGCAACTCGGAGATGGAGATGCGTGACACCGACTGAGTAACAGTCATTTTAGCGGTTAGCAGTGGTGGGCACCAGCCCGCTAAAGCGCAAATCCGCTAAATGCGGACCTGAACATTTTGTTTGCACTTTAGCGATCTTACTAATTTTTATGATTCATAAGCGGATTTGCACTTTCTAAAATTAAAATGCAGTACCGCTAATAACTAATTATCTACCAGTCATCATTATCTTGAGGTATGGCTGTCAATGAATCACAACACATGTGATCTATCCAACTGCACCCCTCCCAGATAAACACACTTATTGGAAACGTATACATCCTTGCTGACTGTTGCTTTGGGTCACGGTTCTCATTTCCCACAATGCTTTGTGTCTGCTTACGTAGCAGGAAGGCAATGTTTAGAACTCCCTGTCCCACCTAAAACAGTTAACGTTTGTAATCCATACTAAAATTTTGTATGTATTGATTTATTTTACTTTACAATCGGAGCTCCTTTTTTTAAAAAAAAAGTTTAAATGCTGGAGCTCAATACTTGGCGTATTGGTCAAAGCAATCGGCCAACGGGTTTAGACAGACATCTAGTGGTCAACTGGAGCAACTACATGGAAAACTTTAAAATCCAAACTCTTATTTTGTAGGGAAGATAGTTTCCTGTACGACCGTGCTTTCGTTTCCCGTCACACATCAAATCCGTCATGTACCCAGAATGCATCGCTTCAGTTTTCCAATAAGCATTCTTAAAATTACTTTATTGATGCTTCTTTAATGAAAAATCTACAACAAACAAAAGAAAAAGCCAAAGAAGCAGYCGAACTAGCAATCCTCAACAACTTTTTAATTTTTACACCAGGAGCCAAAGTTCAGTTTCAGGAAATCACATCCCCAGCAATCGGCGGTTGTGGGATTAAGCTGTAAAAAGGTTCATACACCACTAGTCGGCAGTGTTGTGTATATATTGTATGTGAATTGTTGCCAGCTAGTAAGTGTTAGATTAAACGTGCTTTAAAATTTGCTTCCGCTAGTTATTCTATGGCATAAGTGTTTTTGAAGTTGCGGATCTAAATATTTTTATAAGCGCTTTAGAATTTGCGGAGCTAGTTTTTGGATTAGCGCTGCCCACCACTGGCGGATGGCATTAGCTTCCTGTAATTTTTAATATGTTTAGCGGTTTGGTGCTAGCAAAACTAGATTTTTGTTTATTTTAGTTCAAGAGATGTAAAATTTCACATCTCTGGTTTCTATAATTTTTCTTATTTTTATAACATGCTTTTCTCCTTGGATAAAAGAAAAATCAGATTTTGGAGGGCACACCCCAGTAACAGTTTGTTCAACCTGAAGGAATATTTGAGGAACTGGAACTTTTCAGATGGAAGCCAGCATATCTTCTTTTCAGATCTTTTATGTGCTCACATACCGTTCTATATTCTCAGTGTCTGTATTTCCACATAAACGTGTCTCAGATTATTTGTCTTGAGAAAGATCTTTGCTCCTCTCAGTCAGATCAGTGAGGAGACTCAGCGTCTGTTCAATGCATCAGCGTTAGGAGATGAGGGGGTTTGAGGGATGATTTCACAAAGTCTCTCAGGATCACATGTTTTTGCCATTAGAGCTTCTCATCCTGTGCTGCTCTGGAAATGTTCCACTGAGTTTTTTTTTCCTTCTTTTTTTCTGACCAGACTCCAGTCTGGCAGCATTGCTCTTAGATGAATCATATCTTGTTACGTTTACAGGTTGCTGTTGTTTCCTCTTTGCTGCTAATTCAACAGATTCTTGTCTAAGTAACAATAAAACATTATTTCTACTTAGACACTAAATTCCCAGACAGTCTCCTGAAATAACAGCACAAGTATTTTATTACTGTTCTGATGATGCAAACTTTTTGCTGCTCCTAACTCTTTTCTCTTTTTGTGTCCACCACCACTACACACATCCATCTTGCCAGGTGATGCCTTCCCTGAGGATTTCTCTATCTTGGCCACGGTAAAACCCAAGAAGGGCAGCCAGTCCTTCCTGTTGTCTGTTTACAACGAACAGGGCATCCAGCAGCTGGGACTGGAAGTGGGACGCTCCCCTGTCTTCCTGTACGAAGACCACACAGGAAAACCCAGTCCAGAGGACTACCCCCTCTTCAGAGGAGTTCACCTTGCTGATGGAAAGTAGGTGTACCACATAGACTTAAATATATAGATCAGTAGACTGAACCCCGCCAATCCCGTCCACTGGTAGTTTCTGTGACATCATGGAGGAGCAGAAACAGACCAAACAGGACAACAGCTCACAGCCTCCATAGAAACTAATAGATAAACAGCAGCTGAACTGGATCTGTTTCACAGATTATCTGTCATGTTTTTTACAATAAATTAATAATTATGTTAATTTCATTCAACAATCATGTAAAACAGCAGATTTATACCAGAAAAATATATAATTTATAAGTAATAATGATCTAAACCAGACCTGAAGTCAGCCTGTAACTTAGACTTTAGCTAGTTGAAAAATGATGACTTCAGCTAGCAATAAAGTATATTTATTATTTCTTCTTACTGTCATAAAAAATAAGAATATTTATATTTACCAGTCAACAGTTAGAAAATGTTCTCTGGTTATAGGATGAAACTTTTCTCTGTTAGCTAACATCTTCTTAACAAGTCAGGTTCCTCTAACAGAAACCTAAAAATACTCACATTTATAATATTATTTTACACTGTGTATGTCTAAATATTAATCAGACATTTATAATATTATTTTACACTCTGTAGGTCTAAATATTAATCAGACGTTTATAATATTATTTTACACTCTGTAGGTCTAAATATTAATCAGACATTTATAATATTATTTTACACTCTGTAGGTCTAAATATTAATCAGACGTTTATAATATTATTTTACACTCTGTAGGTCTAAATATTAATCAGAGGACAAAGTAATATTTAATAGTTTGTTAAATTGTAGCATGATTCAACAGAGCTACACTCTGTATACTGTATATGCTCCACAAGCTAATATCTGTTAACCAGTTCAATAAATAACAGTGATTACATCGACTTTATAAGGTTATTTTAATTTTAAACTGTTACATTGTTCTGCTCAGATCACATTGAGCTAAATAAGATCAAATCTGCTGACTTGTTGTAAAATGAGACGTTTTCCTGTTTATCTTCTGTTAATAAATCCATAACACAAACAGCTTTTCTGACATTATTTAAAACATTAGATAGATTATATGAACTGTAAAATATTAATAATAATTGGGTTGATATTATTATTAATAGTTTTAATGATTTCTACATCATCATTTCTTTTTTTCTGCTCTGTTACCAACATGTACAGTAATGGGAAATCCAGACTCTTGACCGTTTAGCGTTAGCCGTTAGCTTCACCAGCCGATCACATGGTCACGTGGTTTCTGAGCACTCCGTTTGTTCTATAGAACCTCCTTGGTGTACCAGTCTGTCTTGATTCTGGTCTCTGCCCTCTAGTTACAGTCCACCTTTATGTAACTGTATCAGCTCCTGATTCTGGTTTAGGTACCAGACTCTCCAGTCCAGTGGTTGTCGAACCTTTCATGCATCGCTAATAGGAAAAACATTGTCAGCCATTCCTCCATAAGAGATAAAATTGTCCAACTGACCAGTAAGAACCGGATCCATTCCTCACAAAACCTTGGTTCCTCGTACAGTTTTTAGTCCTGAAAATTAAAGCAAAATAAAAATGGGAGTGATCACTCACCCCACCCCTGTGAGGAACCTGCATCCTCCACCAGGGGTCATTTGAGAACCACTGCTCTGAGCAGGAGTCCACCATCATCAGGCTCTGATTCAGGTTCAGGTTCCTCATCAGAAGGATTTGGTTTTATTTTTGGTGGACCATCATTCTCTCTAACATACTTATTTCTAACATCTGCACCTTTGATGTGCTATGTTATGAACAAATAACATTCTACCTGTAGATAGATGTTTAAGTGGCCTCAATTTGTAGAAACTGAGTTTAATTATGACGGAACAGATGAGCTAACAACTCATTGACACCAAAATAAATTATTTCTGCCTAACGAAAGCTACAATTAAAAAAAAAAACAAGTCCCAGTAGTTCATTTAAACAGTATTTTATTCATCTTTACATCAACAAAGACAGATATTCCAGCATAAACACTGATATCCCTGCATGAACACAGCACAAGTTCTACAGCTAACTGTTGCTGCTGTGATGTGTGCAGTAGCTGTGTTTCCAGTGACCATGAAAATGCGCAAATTAGAATTTCGAAAATAAATTTGCTGAATGGAAACACGTCAGTTTTGAAAGAATATTACGTTTTTCGACAAAATGTTCTTGCGCTAGGATGAGGTGGTTTTTCGACGTATCGAAATTGGTGTTTTTCGCAAAACTGCAATGGAAACACTTTTTTTGCATCACGGGAGTCACGTGATCAAGAATCGGCTGTTTCTACTGGCGAAAAAAACGATGACGAAGAAGATAACAGGAAGTAGAAATAGTAGTAATATTGCAGAAGTAGTATACAATAGTAAACTCACCGACTACAATTTCCCAAAAACACAGCATACGTAGCCGCTCCCAAGTAGGGGCTTGTCTCTGGAAAGCCTCGATAAAAGACGCCGACGTCTCCTCTGATGATGAGCGCTAGTGTCGYGGTAGCAACATGCTATGTGTTTACATCCATTGTCACCATGTTTGTAATGACTTTTCGTGAGAACAAATATATTCACGCCTGACTTTAATAGAATTTCTTACTTAATTGAAACATCACAGTTGCGAAACTGTGTTTTTTGACATTAACAGAATATCGACAAAGTTTTGCGCACATTTGCAATGGAAACGCAGCTAGTGACATAAAAGTGTAAAAGTTGACAATTTATGTTTATACAGTATTAGTAAACACATGTAATCAGCTATGTAGTTGGAATATGACATAGAGATATTAAACTGATTATTATCAAATCTATTCAGAAGATTAATTTTTAGTTTTCTACATTTTATAAAAAATAATGTCGGTATTTAAAATTAAATAGAATTTTTATAATAGACAAATCAAATTAATGCTTGCTTTTAGGAAAACAGCAAAATTGGTTGTTTCCCCTTCAATTTGATCACAGCTTTTAATTTGTTAGTCTTCATATTTTGCGACAGCTCGGGCCTCAGAGTGATTTCAGGAACCTGAGTGGGATCAATCTGGACCTGAACAAACCCCGAGCATCTTATCTGTAACGGCATGAAACCCGGTAACCCTGTGAATAACACTCTCCTCCTGTTCCAGGTGGCATCGAGTGGCCATCAGTGTGCACAAGCAGACCATCACCCTTATTTTGGACTGTAAAAAGAAGACCACCCAGAAGCTGCTCCGGGACCCACACCCCATCATTGATACCAAAGGAATTATAGTGTTTGGAACAAGGATACTTGATGAAGAAGTCTTTGAGGTAGGACTTGAGCTGGAACCTCTTCTTTTGGGCTTTCCGCCCACTCATGTTTCTGATCTGCGTTTGATGCTAATTTGTCTGATTTTTACCTTCTGCTGCTGTTGTTTTAAAAAAATATCTGATAAAGCACTGAGGGAATTAAGCTTAATGAAACCCCACATCTACAAATGATTAACCTTTAGAGGTAACCACAGTTAAATTGGCCTCCTCAGATAAAACAACCTTAACAACTACAAAAATGGCTACTTCCTTTAATTTAGAGTTATTTGGCTAAATTTTAGTGTGGTGGTAGCTGAGAGTCATCCCTACTTTATAGTCTGAACACTCACTGATCAATTGAGGTATATTTTAAGAACTTTGCCATTAGCTTTGTTTACATGGACATAACTGGAATAAATGGCCAGTCTGAATAAAAATGTGTCATGTAACCCTCCCCAATCAGAATATTCTAATTCAGCTCAATCAGAATGAATTTGTAATCTGAAAGAGAGGGGTGGTTTGTAATGATTGATAATTTGAACGGCGTTCACGTAAACACTTATTCTGATCAAAAAGAAAAATAAGTAAGTCCTCTGGAGGGGTTCTTCTTTAGTTAAATGTTTCGTCTCTCCTCCAAGAGACTTCTTCAGACTGAAGAAACAAAAGAAAAAAAAAGAAAGAAGCTATAACTCTGTCAGTTTTAAAGATATTGTGCTAAAAACTGGTGTGGTTGTAGTTGAGACTGTTCTTCAGCACATACCTTGATACCATAATACCTATAAAAAAAACACCATATCATTTACAATGCTTGACCAAAACAGCTTCAGCTCCGTTACTTCTCATGATAAAAATTTTTTAGTTTAAAGCACTGACAGTTGGGCCACACGCATAGTTTCAAGAAATGCCAAACCTTTCATATTTCCTGTTTTCCAACAGATTTATTGTTCTTTAAAAATTACAATGCAAGTTACTGGACAGATTTTTCTCTTTTTTTCTTTTCTTTCTTTTTTTTTGTTTTGAGTCTTAAATGACTAAAACTTCATGTGTGTGTGTTTTGCTGTGAGTGCAGACACATGTAAGTGAGGTCTGAGTGTTGGTCAACCCCAGTGCCCTGCTGTCCTTAAACGCTGCGTTAAATAAGGGACTGTGGTGGAGGCCACATCCTCCTGGGTTTGTTGAGACCCCAGCGTGGAACCCGCAGACCTCTGCCACCCACTCCTCCTCAGCCACACATTCACAAATCAAACATAATCGCAGGTGCCACATGTTCCACGCTGTCCACAAAGAAACTCCCCATCCCATAATGCCCTGTGCTGCGCTATTCTGTGCTGTGCTGTGCTGTGAGTGGTTGCAGACTGAGATGTTTGCTCTCAGACTGTTGGAGGTTTAGTGACTGGATTTTTTTTTTGTCTGAACAGGCTGCAACATTTCTGTCAACAAAAAGAAATGTGCACGTACATGTTTACATGATTACAAGGGGAACTTTCTGTACTCAGGAAATGTTGGATTTATTGTATCCTGGTGGACACAAAATATGTTGGTCTGATTTGGTTTGACTTAAAGAATGTTTGCTTGTGTCTAGTTATAAATTCATTTATACTTTCTGTGATGAAAAACTTACCATTTTGAAGAAATTTATAGTTATTAGAGTTATCAGAGTACTGATGTTAAAAACACAACACAATATTTTTAGGTTTTCCTTTTTATTTTGTCGACAATGTTTAATCTATTATGTTTTGATTGATAATAGATTAGTTACATGTCCGAAATATCAGTGACAACACATAATTAAACTTAATGAGAAAATTAGATGAGAATTTTGTCTGAATGCCTGTGATTCAGCCGTAGGTCAGTAGGGGGCGAATGCAGGCATTGAAGAACCATGTATAAATTGATGAACTTCCTGGTTTTTCGCCAGTGTGGTTTCCTGTCAGCTCAAGTGGCAATAAACCTCACTCAGATCCAGAATTCTGGTGTTGTATGGTTTGATTCCTTCTACAAATCATTTTATTTAACAATGGTGGTTTTAATATTGACTTCAGTTTATTGAATACAAATTTTTCTTACAATTTCTTGAAGGAATGTGTATCGTTTGCCACCTTTCATGCCACAAATTAAACTTAGATCATCTCATGTTGAAAAATAATGATCATATTGCTGTTTTTAAAACTATGTTATGCACAATCTCGTGAAATGTTGTGAAAATTTTTCAAAAGTTAGCACTTGAATTCAACTTTGAGACTTGCAGCTACTACCATACCAAACAGTATCTATAAAACTGACGTTACAGACAATTTTGTTTATATAGAATAGCTATTCCATTAGTTGTTAATTACTTTCTCCGAGTTTCAAAGAAATATCTCCAGTGGTTCAGGAGATATTTTGCTAACAGACAAACAGACTAACAGGTAGCGCCAAAGTTTTAAGCAAAGATGTGTGCCTATAAATAGAGCTCAGACATAAGCATACCAAGTTTTAGCCTAATATCTATTATTCTGGTTGAGTTATAGTCAGTTTTGTGTTTGCTTAAGTTGATCGGCAGCCATTTTGAATTGAGCCGACCCAAAAGATAATCAGCTGTAGATGACCATCCGATCATTACTTTTTCATGATTCCATACTTTTTTCCTCAGAATTGAGTGATTCCATAGATTTTCCCCTGTGCTTGATCAATAAAAGTAACATTCACTGACTTCCACAATGTTTTCTCTTCATTTCTTTGAGTGTCCCTGAAAGCCAACAAGTTGCACTTTGGAATGATCTTATTATTGTATCATGTTTTTGATCTGAGTTTGTTTTACAGAATGAAATGTCTGAATGAGTGCTCATCCAAGACTGGTGATTCCATACTTTTTGCCAGGGGTTGTATTAGGTTGGCTAATTTCAGTTGGCTGTGGTGGCCACATTGAAGTGGATCCACTATAAAACCTCATCACTTGTAAATGTCTAATCATATGTTATTTTCTATGGGTTTCATTAAAATCTGTCCAGTGTTCAGTGAGACAGGATAGGCTGGTAACAAACAGACAGAAACAGGCAGGAACAGGCAGAAATATTATTGCCCTTTCCGCTTCAGGGAGGCTGATCTTTGCCAGAGTCTGGGTGAATGAAAGCAGGAAGGACTGTGTTGTCTTTTTAGAGTTATTTTTCTTTGAAAGTGGATTAGTCAGAAGCTGTAAATAAGAATTAGTAACAGAGTCTGACTGATGGGACTGAGGCTGAACCAGCTGAACTTTGACCTTCCTCCTGCTCACAGGGAGCAGACAAAAAAGGGAAGGATTATGACATCATCTCTTTCTCCAGTCCCTATAGTTTTTCTGCACAAGCAGATATATGAGGGGGAATAAAACCATTTCAAAACCATGAAGCAATAAGTCCTGAAACCAAAACCAGATTTGAGTTAGTACAGAAAAACACATTTTTTAAAGATAAAAACATCTTTTTAATGATTCATAGTATGGGGAAATGTTTTGTTTGTTTATCACACAAATTGTGTTGTTTCTTTCTTGTGAAACGTTTGTTTGAGAAGGTTTAATTGGACACAAATTCAAAATTTTTAATTTATTTTTAATTTTATTTTGCCCTGAAGGCAGATTTTTTTTATCACCTGCCACATTGAAAGGCCCGTCGCTCGTATGTGCAACATATTTTATGAACCTTTGGATTTATTTTAATGAAACTCACAGAAAGTGAACCCTGGATGTGCATCTACAGATAACTTTTGGAGTTAACGTGGTTAAAGGTGGCTGCCTTGCCTTTCAGCATTAAGAAATAAAAATGATTGTAAATGAATGAGTCAATCTACACACATTGAGCAGAAGTTTGGTGTGGTAGTAGATGAGAGTCATCTCCAACACGTAATCTGAGAGCTAACAAATCACATACAATTTTTGTTTAAAACTTTGCCACAAGGCTGTGGTGTGATACATTCTTATAAAGAATATTGCTCTGGTTTGATCCATTCCCATGATGGCAACTATTAGATTGAAGTGATTCAGAACCAGCCAAAACCATGTCCATTTGTGAGACTGTGAGATGTTTTAATCCCTCCTGCCGCGTGTCTGCCGGCAGGCTCCGGTGTGTTCAGAAAATGGAAAATATGCCACATAGTTTCCAAATGATGTTCAGCCTCTTCTCCCCTCACTCCCTCTTCCTCTCTGCTGCTCGGTCTGATCCTGTGTCGGCTTCTGCCAGAGTCATTAACCACCAAGAGGTGGTCAGCGTCACCCCCCCCCCCCCCCCCCCCACACACACACACACACACACACACACACACACACATACACACACATGTTAGCTAGCTTGATTTGAGCTGACTGAAATTCTTCAAATGTCCAGTTAGTCTCTTCTGAAACTGTTTTTTTTTACATATTAGTGTTGCCAAATGTTTCAAAAAGAAAAGAACTAACAGATTTATCACTTGTTCTCTGTCATACCACATTCTGACTGTAAATCTTGACATCTTTCTGCTTGTAAAAGCATTTTTTTTACAACAGCTTGTGTCTTTTTCTTCTAAACAGCATGAGTCAGACTCATTCTGAGGTGGGTTGTGGTTTGCTCTTTAACAGAAGTTTTGTAGTAATAGAACAACTAAACGTATCAGGGGTTGTTGTTTTTTTTTCCTTTTATTTCTTTCTCTAGTTGCTTAAGGGTCCTATTGAAGATGATTAAGTCTTGTTAAGATATTTAAATAAGCAAACTGCTGTTTAACTTAAAAAGGAAAGCTCATCTGTCTGTATTAAATCTGTCAAAAGACACTTCAGCCTTCATGCAAATCCCTGCTTGTAAACTTTAAGTGTTGCTTTTCTTCATGTCTGCAGGCTGGGCGTGGCATATTTTCAGTTTTATTATTAGAAAATAAAACTTTAGTCAAAGTCTCATTGTTGAACTGAACAGTGAACAGATCTGAGGAGGTACCAAAAAGATTAAACAGGATTTGTTTTTTTTGTTTTTTTTAAACAGGAATGCAAACTTCATTACTGTTGCCTAAATTAAATCGCAAATTGCATAATAACGTATATA